CTGAATCGCACTGGCACAGATGCCATGCAAGATCCCCATGTCCCATCCATTACCTCCAGCTGCAGACTCCCTCAGCCCCATGGGCTGCTCTGTCCCACCCTGCCCTGCCCCCAGAGGTAGCAGTAGGCAGCAGAAGCTGGAGTGGGGTGAGGGAGAGGCACTCCGGTAGCAGCAGCAAGAGAGCAAAAAGGGGAGCAGCACCCAGACCAGGAGCCACGGTTCAACTTGTCAGGGACTGCATTTGTCCTACAGGCTGCCAGTGGGACAGCCCTGCTATAAATGAAGAAAGGTGGCCAGTACAGCCTATCAAACTCTTCATTTTTCCTTCACATCCAAAGTTTGTTTCAGACGTAAAATGATTACAAATAAAATTACATACTGTGTTATAGCTTCTTGAGTGCGCCAGAGCTTTGCAGAAGCTTTTAAACCGTTGGTCACTGTCCTCACCCCAAGGGGCAGCTGATTGCTGTTTTAGCCTGCGGCACAAACTCCCTCCATCAAGACTATTCTAGCTTTGTTAGTTTAAAGTAGTGCAGTGAGTTCCATTTCTGTTCTCTTGTCCCTGGTGTATCATATACGCTCTGGTGTGCCTGTGAAGGTGGGAAGTGCCAGCTGTACCACATAATTAACCAGTAGCGTTAGGATGTTTTTCTCATTCTCCCGTACACCATGGGAGTGGCAAAAAGGGGACTGCAGCTCAGACCACAGTCTGACCCTTCATGTGTTTTGTAATAACTGAATTTCCTCCCATGTCCTCACCCTATTAAATGAAGTATTTGGACTGATTGTTTCTGTTGTACAGGGACAGGGTTATCTGGGGGACTAAGTACAGGACTGGCAGCTAGGGAATCTGAGCTAAGCTCTGGCACAAGTTTGCTCTGAATCTTTGGCCTAGTCACTTAGGGCAGGATTTACAAAAGGATTTTGTCATGATAAAACTGAGCATTCCCACACCTAAAAGGTAGGTACTGGGATGTGAGGGTGGAATTTGCATACCCAAGAGAAGCAACGGACTGTAGTCAAGAAGCCTGGAGAGAGTTTTCAATTAATTCAGTATTGCACTGAATTTCCCACATTTCAAAATAAAAATAGGAGAAAAATGCTTGCTTTGAATGTGTAACTACCACTTGCCATGAACTTTACCAACGCACAGGAACCAGTGAATGCTATGGGAGCAAGGGATCCTGGAAAGGATTTGAAGTGATTTGCATAACTGTGTGGGACACTATCTTTCTGTTTTAGAAGTTACAGGGAGGTGTGGCAAACCCATCATTAGTCCAGATAAGATAGTGTCTGTCCCTTAATCTGCATCTCAAGGCAAAGGTTCTTGAATGAAATTAAATGTTAGGTTAAACTCAGTGGAGCAGGTAGTTCCAGCCTGTCTTATTTATCAAAGAAATGCATTGTGTAATTTAAATATTTATTGCTCTGTTCTGGTACTGGGATGTAGCAGCAGTGCACATGGGTATAATGAGGAAGTTCTCTATTTGAGACCAGATTAAATCCCAGAGTTTTGTGTTAGCAAGTTGAGCCTTCACAGCCTGTTCCTGTTTCAGATCAAGATAATTGGCAGTTATGAGTTGGCAGTCAGTGTCATCAGCCATGGTGTCCTTTACAAACCTGTTTTGCTGTTGTTGCCCTGCATCACCAGAATTGTACCCACGACTCAAAAGGGTGCAGAGTGAAGCAAGACTGAGTTAGATCACACCATAGGAGAGAAGGATCAGGAATCAGTACCTGGGAGCAAAATTACTGACATTTAATAGCACTCATTCGTACACAAATTAGTAACATTCTCCCAACATTTCAGGCTGCTGAGTGTATACCACCCCACGGTGTCCCCTTTGAAAGCCAGATCAAATTCCAGATTCACTCATTACGCAAGCCCAGAGTGGGATTGACCCAGACTCCCTCAGCAACCAGCTCAGCTATTGTGATCGTGACCCGTGTGTACAGGGGTAGAGCATTGTCAATGCCAAGTCCAACCAAGTGGAACTTGCAGTCCAAGAGGAGCCAGAAGTGATCACAAATCTGAGCCTTAGAATGAAATGTAAAGCCCTCTTCTTCTGTCAGACTTTTCCTGATAACCCCAGGAGAGTTAATACTCAAAACCCTGATTAAAATATGGAGGAAAGAGGGGGAGGGATTGCATTGAGCTCACCTTTTAATTTGGGAGGCATTGTAGAACTTGCCTGCACGAGGAGTCAAATCTATTAAAATAATATAATATTAGTTCAAGAAAATGCAGGGTAAATTTGTTCCATGCGTTTCAGAGCTGCTTGTTTCTGCATCTGTAGTTTCCCTTAATTGCAGTTGCCATTCTGTGTCGAAGACCTGGACAGGTGCTCTCATAGCCTTGTTAATGCTGCCCCAGGGGCCTGGGAAGCACAAAACTTGCTTGCTTGCATGTTCTACCTGTGCTCTTAACTCATGGGGCTAGAAAGAGAGCCCCAATCTCCTAAATGGTCATTCAGAGCAGCAGTCCCTGTCTAAGTTAACCACCAAGTGCTAACGTATCCAAAATACTGCATTTGACTCGTATACACTCATGCCCACTCTTGCACATTTCCAGTTCTGTTACAATCAGCCTGTGAGCAGTTGCTATAGAAACCTTGGAGACAGCATTTTGATCCATGGTTAAATGATAGGTCAAATTCTGAACCATTCTGACCACCTGGTTATAATGTATTGACTGTCTCTTTTGAGACAGCAGTAGCTTTCCCTTAGTGTGCCCTGGAAACAATTGTATTGTAAATCTGGTGCAAGTGGGAACCTTGTTTCTTGTGTTAACAGCTAAGTCCCCTGAGCTGAAAGGATTCCAGACCTGCAAAACTTATTTATTAACATGTGCTAAATGTATAACCGTTATAATTAACTTACTGCTGCTTGATAGAGGGCATGAGCAATTTAGATTTAGACTGGACACTCTGAGCAGGATAGAACTAACTGAATGATAAGTATGGCTCTCTAAGGGAGATGTGCACACTCTCAAATGGTGGTATTTTATACATATAATCTTTGTTAAAATTGCCATGTGCGATCCGCACTTGCCTGGAGGAGAGTTGATTGGATGAGTCGCCTTCAAAACCAAAAGGAAGGGTTAGGAACTTTCCTGTTATGTGAGGTCTCATTGGCTGCGGTTCTTGAGGCTTTGTCTGTGCCCCCTTGCTGCTGTTTGAAAAATGTTTTCAAGTGCTATTCTTAAGTGTTGTGCAACCAAGATGTGGAAATTTCTTTCCTCTTTCCGTGTCTGCTGCTGTTTGTTCTGGTTCTGGGACAAAAGAAGCAAAGGGGTATATGCTTTAGTTCCTTGGTGGCTGAGCCCTAGAGCTTAAAGTTTTTACTTATGCAAAAATTTACCTGTTGCTCCAGACCAGTGTAAGCGTTCTGCCTGGATATGTACATGCACTCCTCTCCCACCACTTGAAAATGCAAGAGGACTCGCAGGGCTCCCTATCCCCACCCACTTTTCTTCTGCTTTTGCTTTTTTCATCCACTGCTTAAAGAGCTTTCTTGAACTATGAAGTTCCATGACGCAACAAAACATGAACTATGGGCACTCTCTGTAACGGTGTCTTCAATGTTATTAAAGGGGTCATCCTTTCATGCAGCTCATCCAGGCCAGTGATAATTTAGGCCCTGATTTTCCCTGTTTTTTAACTCTGGTTCTGTTGCAATCACATATCTAAGGATTGGACTGGATGACTTCTGGAGGTCCTTTCCAGCCCTACTTCTCTCCAATTTATGCCTCTCTCTATACAAGTATCACTCAGTTAACTTGTTAATTGTGCAATGACCTTGAAACCAGCTACACATGAGAAGTAGCTATCACACGGTGAAAAGCTCCAACCAGTTGTAAAGTTAGACCTCAGAAATGTGTATTAACTTTATAGTTGGTTGCTATTGAGCTTTAATTTGCACATATAACAGGGTTGTGGCTGGGAGACCTGTCAGCTAACAGGGTTCCCGACCACAGGCATGCAACCACCAAGCACCAAAGATCACAGCTGCTGCATCCCTAAAGCTTGAGGGTATATGAGCCTGTGGACCCACACAGGGCTCTTGGTCTTGGTTGCACCTCACATGTAGCCAGGACCAAGTGTCCTGTACCTGATGAGACTCTGGATCTCAGCTGCCCATGAAGTTCAGCCAGAACCCAGAGTCCTGTCAGCTGCAGGGTCTCTGGGTGCCAGCTGCACATGGCCCCTGCAGCTGAGAGACCCCTCAGAAAGAGGGTTCCCAGCCATGGGTGCCTGCTTCTTGCCAATTCAGGGGGAGCCCAGGATCAGGCTATCCGTACATGGGCAATAAGACATGATTAGCTCTAATGCGCGATCCCACACCTGCCATGCATGTGTGGCATAGCAGGAGATGCAATTGTGTGAATCACACATTACAGCCAGTGCACCTTTACCTGCACATACAGAGTTCTTCGCTAGTTCTTCAGCTTTAGTTCCTTAAGTAAGCACCTGCACACACTAGGCTGTTGCTTGCTTTATGCTTAAATAATTCTAACAGGATTGAGTGAAAATAAAGCTTTCACTATTTCCTGTAAGCAACTGTCCTCACTGATTCTTATGAGAATTTGGAACCAAGAAACATATCATTTACACAGGACCCAGTTTTGCCCACTCTTGCAGTTATTGAAAGTCCTATAAAATGTGGTGGTATTTTTAAGCCCCAGTTCCTCAAATCCCCTGATTACACAAGAAGAGTTATTATGATGTTTGTCGAGAAAAGTTTGAAATCATGAATCCTTAGAGGCTCAAAAGTCAAATAACGCTATGTTTTGTTTTGTTTTGTCTTTTAACATTCAGTGACTTTTGTAGGATGTATGGCTCGTGGTTTTTTTAGTGCTGGGTCCTGACAATGCTGCAGATCAAGAGCAGGGTAGATTTTCAGAAAGGGAAGGAGCTGCAGAATATGAACAGTGCTGAATGTACTGGCAGGAAAACGTGGAAATAAAAATGCAGCATGAAAGATCAAACTAACATGTAAAAGGAGGGTTGTGGATTTTCCCTTTTACAAAGTTTAGGGCCTCTTGAAGATACCTTGAAGGAGCAAATGAAAGAAAAGGTCTGAAATTTTAAGAATTGTGAGGAAAGCAGTAAATCACAAGGCTGCTTCTAAGCTACTTGTCCCTTTTGCTATAGTTTTGTACAACTAAATATCCCCAATAACACTGTAGCACTGGCATGGTGATGTAGTTGTCACGGTTCAGAACTAGGAGACAAGGATTTGTGTAGAGGTATTACCCACAAAAAAATTTGCTCCTCTCCCAGTAACATTGGTAATTCCAGCACCAAATCATTAGAAAGAATAGACCATATATATGATAATAGTCTGAAACAACTTTGATTTTCAATATTGCTATTTAAATTAATGTATAATTTAATTTGACTGACTTCTCCTAACTGCCACCAGATGTCAGTAGAATTTAAGAAATGAGACAGATCGTGAGCTGTGTAACTGGATGTTAATTTCAGTTCAGGTCACCGTGGATGGTTATCAAATCCCAGCCCCCTCACAAGGTGACACAAGCCATTGCAACAATGATCAAATCCCAGACCCCTCACAAGGTGACACAAGCCATTGCAACACAGAGACTGAATTGCTCTTCATCTCTGTGTCAGGGTCAGAGGGCATTGCGGGGACACTCAGGTCTGCCACTCCTGAAGTACCACTAACAGGACTCTAGGCTCTAAGCAGAACTAAGTTCAATTAAAGGAAAGCTTTGTGTGGCTCAGATTAGTCTTATTTGTGCTCAACTTTAGTCTTCCATGAATTTTACTGAACCCGTTTGTGTTTTTCAATATCTAGATATGCAAGAACTGTACCGGTTGCTTTGACCGACAGATCCAGTGTGTTTCTCTGAACTGTCCAGTACTTTTCAAGTTATCCAGAGTAAGCCGAGAGCTATCAAAGGCACCGTATCTCCGCCAACTACTCGACCAGTTTTAAATGATCTGTGTTACAAGATTTCAGGTGCTATTTTTTTTTCAGTGTTTACCACACTAAGACTATCATGCATGGTGCTTTTTCAATTTTCATCTAGTCCAAGATTTCCATTGTAACTGTTGGTTTCCTATCTGAAAAATGACGAACATTTAAAAATACACTTGTTGATCTATGAATAGCTCACTTTTTAAGATGTACAAATTTCTTCTTCCTTTCACCTTTTTAACATACTGTTTTATAATGCGGATGTTGAAATCGCTGTGTGTAACATCTTGTAAATCCATTTCAAAGTAGAAGTCAAGTTTACTTCCCAGTAGGCTGCTGTGGAAGAAGCACTGAAAACCTCTTGAAACGATAAAACCATTAGTGTGTGTTCTTGAACTGTCAGTATCAAGACGTGTTACTTATAGAGATATTATCCATTCACTTTATAATTTTGTCTGCGAAATATTTTGTAAATACACTTTTTTACTTTTCAAACGACTGAGTAAAATAATGTGCAATGAATTTTATACAGATAATTTTAAAGTTGGTTGGTATATTTCCTCCTCAGTTTTGCTTGATTCCAAGTAGATTTGTTATTTTGATCAGACTGTGCAAACAGTAGTATCATGTGTAGCATTTTGAAACATTATTTTCTATAAATTGCTGTCTTGCTTTAGCTATTAATGGGGCATTGTGAGGAACTGTGCAAAGACATTTTTGTTACAAACCTGTGGGACTGTTGCAATACTTTAAATATAAAAAAATTTATTCCATTTTTGCTTGTTTTGTATAGACATTTCTATTGCTTCTAAATATGCTTAAAATATTTTCTTTCCTTATGTACTGTACAGTTAAATCTTATTTGCCATCATCTTGACAAAATGTGTATTTAGAATATTTGTATAACTGTATAAAACAAAAAAGGAATTATGTGGTCAGTGCATTGTTTTCTAAACTGGAAATCATTTTGTTTTAGAAGTTAATAATGGAAACCATATTAAATTGAATAAAATATGAGATATGGTAAATCTATATGCAGTTTTTAAACTTAAGTTTGTAGTCCAAGTCATTACTTTGTTTTAAGAGTATGTGCTCCCTTCAGAAAGTCAAGTTAACTAGCCAAACAGGCATTGATAGGTTCAGATGTTATACCACCCTGTTTCATACAGTAACCATTCTCACATATCACTAACCATCTCACACCATACAGAACAGAGCCCTCCTTTTTATTAATTTAGCCACTTCAGCTGAAAACTTGAGTGGGGTGGGAAAAAAGACTGCTAGCAAAATCCACTGTTAGACTTCACTCTCCACAAGCATTGCAGATGGAAAGCTTCTACAAAGCAGAACCTGGTGAAATTCTCATGGGAGCTCTTATTTGAAGTTTTCAAATGATTTTGAAGTGCTTCAAGGCACCAGCTGAGCCAAGATACGTGTCTTTTAAAGCATTCCAAAAGTGGACAAAAGTGCTCCTAAATGGGATGTTCTGAAATGAGGTATTATTTTGAAGCACTTCACTTCCTGGTGTGTGTTCCCAGGGACAGGGGATCCATAGGTCCTTCAGAATCCCAGGGTTCTGTACTCTCCTCACCCCACCAGCACTAAAGGCTCTGGCAACCATCCTTACAACCTGGTGACAATATATTTACTCTCTTTTTTTTGAGCTAGCAAACAGTCTGATCTGCTCCCCCTGCCCAGAGGCGGAATGGAGCTGCAGATCCCTACAGGCTCCCCCTGGCTTGTGGCTATATGCAGCTAGAGATTTTGAAACCCTTCAGCCAAGGGGGCAACAGAGGCTGTACATATGCCTGGTGGCTGAAATACAATCTCGCTGAACTGCTTTCAAGTCCAGTATACTTGGAAACATTTCAAATGTTACACCTGTCTACACACTCTGGAAACATCTCTGTAAGTTGAGTATTGCTTAAGACGTGCTTAAGTCATAGATAAGGGCAGAAGATGCCCTTTATGATGCATTATGAATTGATCATTAAGCTTGTAACTTCTTGTTGAAGTACAGCCTTTCCTTAGTAAGGTCTTGTTAAAAAAAAATCCATTCTAGCCCTCAGTAAATTTATTGTTCCACTATTTTCATTACCCTCACTCTAAAGAAAATTAGTTTCCAACTGTTGCAATGTATTATGTCCTTTAATGCTAACAAGATCCTGTCCCAGCACAGCTCCCCACCCTGCCAGCACTACTCGGGTGCATCCACCAAAACCCTGGGACCACAGCCCCACTGCAGCTGGGGTTTCTGTGAAAACCAGCTGGAGTGGCACGGGAAGGGATTGCTGCGAAATAAAACCTGGCTGCTGTCCAGATGCACCATTTTGCCCACCCTAACCTAGAATCAAATAATGTAGACCCCTTGTAGATGCTACACTTATGACTCGATTAACTTGTTAATCACATTTTAAATAATAACTCAGCTCCAAGTTTGGGTAGTTAATGATGCAACAAAATGCAAAGCTAGCCACAAAATTATTCCACTGAATATGAGTAATTGTTTTGTTGGCTGGCTTCCATCATGCCTTAAATTGTGTGTGGCAGAGTCCCTGCCACACAGTCTAATATGGCGGCCTGGGCTTTCTCAACAATTCCAGTGTTGGCAGGCTGACACCTGCGTGGCATAGTCTAAAATTGTGCATCCTGCCATGCATGTCTGGTATAACAGGAGGCAAGAGTTGGGAGCGGGGATCAGATTCCAATACACCATGAAATGAATGTGCACCAAGGGCCTTAGTGTCTCTTTCAGTTTGATAGTCTTCCGTACGTTCAAGGATCATGTTCACCCTATTAGTAACAGCAGCGCAGGCTCAACTAGTTATCTAATGCTACACACACATCCTCTCCAGTGTCAATGCGTTCTGGAAAGCTCTCATGTTGTAAGCACGGCCTGCCTCATCTAATCCTTGTCTTTTACCATAGCTAAATTAACCCTTCCCAAGCAATCCAGCCTTCATGACTGACCAAGCCCAGCCATTTTTTGGTCATCTGCAAACTTTTGAGTTGTTTATTCCAGGTAACTGATGGAGATTGTTTTAGAATAATTATTGTTCATATTGCTCTGAGGACCTGCTGCACTGAATACTTTTGTAAAGAAACACGGTAGGATGTTAACTCTTCAAAATGGGTTGCAGTGATGTTGAATGGTTCTATTTTTTTTTTTTAACTCAGATTCATGCAGGACTAAGTTCAATGTCTTAAATTTATGATGTTACAATTAGCAATTTCAGCCAACTATTTGGAATAGTTTGATAAAATTATTGTGATACAGAAGTATTTACTGTCTTGGTCTAATATGATTTATGTCATCGTTCAGGTTTTGTCTGTTCAGTCTCTCTTAAAAGTCCTTACTATCCAAAACTGGTAGCTCTAGATTTCACTAATAACTTTAGCTCTCCTTGGCAACTAGCTGCTGACTTGTACTCATCACTACCAGCTTTCCCCATGTTTTATTGATGCCTTCCCCTCCAGCTGTAATTGTAAGCCTTCTTAATAACCATTTAAGAAGGTGTATTTTTGAACACCTCAAGTTCTGTGGCTCATTATTTAAAATTTATTCCTGCTATAGTCTTCTTTGTAAAGCAGAGAAAAAGCCATGAAGGGCAAGAATTAGTTATCTTTAATTTATCGGTTTTTAACTAGGTTTCAAAAGTGCAGCAAGAAAGTGGAAGCTTCAAAGTTGGACAGCTATGGCTAGAAATGGTAGCTATTTTACTTCTGTGTAGCAACGAAATGTATATAAATTTTAAACCTAAATATGAATGAAGAGGAACACCCACTAAAAAGATCATCATATGTCCTGTTTGTAAATAAAAGCAATTTATTATATTCAAGGAATAATCAGTTTCTCAAGTAAATTTCACATTGCACAGTCATGTAAACAAGTAGTTTTCAACCAAATTATATTAAACAAAAACTGTCACCCACACAAACACTAACAAAGGAAAAACCATAGAAGAAAATGTATGTAAAAAGTTAACTATTAAGCAAAAACCAGGATCAAAATTAAAACAAAAAAGTCACCAAGGCACCTGATTGCTTCATACTTCAGAGTTCCAGCTTTGTGCTCTCTTTATGAGAGAGAAGTAATTTTCACTCTCTCATTCTCAGATGTCTCTGTTTGAGCAGGGACCATTCCTGTAGAATAAAACACTTCAAGATCTAGGGCTTCTGACATGCTGGCTCAAACAGTCACTGGGATAAATGACAAGTGTGGTTGAACTATGAAGGGAGGGAGGGTAGTAAATCTGGCCTCTTCCACTAATCTATTTGTTACTTACACAAATAGGCATAGCTGCTCTTGTTCATTCAAGTAGCTCCCATTGAGTGTAACGCAGATCATATCTGAATATTGTGGATGCTGTCCTTGTTGCTTACCAGTTTCCATTAGATGCTCCTTTCTACAAGTACAAGGTCCATCCTTATGGTTTACTATTTTTACTAGTTCTTGTAATAAAAAAAGCTTCTTAAAGTTTTAAATCAAAATCAGCAGAGATCCTTATTAGCCACAGATTGAATTAAATCAAAGGGACTATAGAAACATCCCCTACTCTAAAGCTCAATTTAACTGAACTTCTAACAAGAGCAAACCCTGAAAATCCCAGACTGAGTGACATATTGACACAAGCAATCCAAACATGCATCTCTGTGTTTACTTTTAGTATATCTTCACCATACAAGTCACCAAATATATCTTTTCAGACATGTACAAAAAGTATCCATATACATTTGGGTGATAATGCCAGGCAACAGGGAGGCAAACACTGGGAAGGTGCTCAAAATTGGTCAATCAAGATGCTACAAAATGCCAGGAGTGATATAATAGCAAATAATTAATGTTATCTAGGAGTTAACAGTTTAGGGATCACTTAAAATGTAGACAGACATTGCCTTATTTTAAGACACAATCTTGCTTTCATATATGCGTGACACTTGTCATAATAGTTGGTAAAAACAAAATGCAAAACTTATTTCCATGTATCACATCATGCATTTTCCCTGTACATTTACATTTCCCATCAAGAATCCAGTGAAGGAAAACAGTTCAATCTTACAGTGGTTATTTTGATGTTATGCTAGTCAAACTACTGATTTGAGAGAGGTCTCAGAGGCAGGCCTCTCTGTCCATTTCAGCATGATTCACAGGAGTGAAATAAAAGCTCTTCATTACTCACCATCATCTCTAACCTAGGCAGCCTTGTGTTGAAAAAGCAGCAATAATCAAAATGGACTAAGCAAGTTTGAATAAGTTAGGTTTAAAGCCATTAGGACTGCAAATTTCTCTGAAGAGCTTGCATTTCATTTTCCCCATCTTCTCTACAAATTAATAAGCCTGAGCCCAAGTACTTCTAGGAATTATTTCCTTGCATTAGCTGCCTATTTAGTATCTCTCTCACACAGTAACCTGTGCTGAAACTGGTACTTCGTTTTCCTGATCTTGCAAAATTTAAACCAGCATTAAATTCCCAATGTTTGTTAGAAAATCCACTTGCTAGATAGAAAGGTGCAGGGTTGGTTTGGTTCACATGGTTCCACCAGCTCTAAAAAAGAGATTTAAGTCTAGAGGATATGAGATGGCTAACATTTCCATCTTGTCATGCCACCCTAGCTTAGAAAGATTAAATAGGTAGATAAAAGGAATGTACCACAGCCCTGCTCTGCCAGTTTCTTTTTAACTATGTGGGTTCTGGAGTTTTCACTAACAACATATAGAACAGAGCCAGCAAAGCTTAACGTACAGCTTGCGTCTCATTTGTGGCAAAAACCCATTTTAAGTTCTTAGTACAGGTCTGTAAGTAAGTTGTAATCACAGCTTGTCTTTCATGCAAAATGGCTCTATCAGGATGGCAACTCTGTCAGGAAGTGTTGCAATGACTTCCATATCCTTGTTCTAGATCCTGCAGTAAAGTCATTTTTTTGCCAAGAGAATAGTTCTATTACAACTACCTTTTGGAAAAAGAAAACAATAGTATGAAAACACTGGCCACTCCTTCTGTCAATATCCTTGTGTTCAAAGTCACTTGTGCAACTTTTTTTGTCCTCTATGTACAATCTCTTCTTGGTGTTCCCTCGCTCTAACAAATGCTTTACGGCATTTCACAACCCTTTTGAAGTGCCACCTCACGATCTGTGTTCTCAGGCATCCTTATTTAGTCAAGGAAAGCATTCCAGTTCATTGATTGCTATATACTATGCAAATCTGGAGGCCATACTAGTGACTGGAATGCTTCCAGTAACTTTAAGTGCAGTCACATGCATCTCAGGATAGAACTTAGCCTTTAAATATTTTAAAGCATTACATAGTTGATTAAGAAAAGGGAGTTTTCATGCAGCAACTGGAAGAGCATAATAAAAAGTTTAACAAAGCATTGTTACAGCAGATGCAAACACTGTAGTAGTGGCTATATTTCCCAAACACAACTATAGCCAGATTATACACAATCATAATATTTTACAACAACCAGGGAAAAAAAAGATTCCAGTCCTGATGGTAACTAGTCAACCAAGTGTCTTCAGCCAATATTCATCCCTATCTAATTCTGTCTCCATCTTTTGTGGAAAAAACATACACAGAAATATACATTGGCATTTATGCTAACATTAGGAGTGAGGAGATTTGTGAGATTTCACTGGATCTCACTATGAGCGGCAAAAGCTCCTGACTGCGTTCTTGCTCCTTATTCCTTCCTCTCCGGGGATAAGTAGAAGCCCTTATGTTCCAGGTAAAAGAGAGAGAGAAAGGGAGTATAAAGCACCCCTGACAAACCCAGCATCTGAAACAAGACACTGCTGTGCAACAAAAAGAAAAGAAAAAAAAGCTCCAAAATGCAAACAAATAGCAGCTCTTAAAGAGGGTTCTGGCAGATCAGGCTCCAAACTAATTCCAGCAATCTTGCTACTTGTCTGGTTCATGTTTGCTGCCAGAGTTCTGGCTCGTTACACTAAACAGTGGATCACAATGCTATGCAGTACACAGCAGGCTTGCCCAATTACTTTTCAAACTCTCTTGCCCTGTCTTTCTCCTTAACCCTCCAAAAATAGTCGAAATGGAGACAAACAATTTTACCCTTCAGAGCCAGTCTGAATTCAATACCTGATATTTAAACAACTCCCTTAATACTTTGTCACAGTGTACATGAATTTGATTAATGGCTAAATTTTCATAATTTAAACTGAATTATATATAGACGCTCTGTTTAAATGATTTCACGGGAAAACTCCCTGTTAAGGCCAGCAACACATCCATTAACTCAGGGGTGGGCAAAATGCGGCCCGGAGGCCAGATGTGGCCTGCCAGGCCATTCTATCCCGCCCACAGGGCCCCTAAAAAAATTTAGAAAATTAATATTTATCTGCCCCTGGCTACCTGTCATGCAGTCCTCTATGGCTTGCCAAAACTCAGTAAGTGGCCCTTTGCCCAAAATAATTGCCCACCCCTGCTTTAACTAAAACTGCTAGGCTCCCAGCCCTCAATTCTTCCAGGAAGGGTAAGGACAATTTAACCTTTAACTTAATTTTCCTGGGTTATGTTACACACTACATGGCTCAGAAAGTTCAAGCATCTCTTTGATTAGATTCAGGAAACTCAAGATTTCTACAAATCTGAAGTAAGAGATAAAAGAAACCCAACCCAGCCAGCACAGAAGTGCTCTAAAAATATGGTGCAAGTACTACAAACAGTCCAAATACAAAGTTATTTACACACAGTCCCCCAGTCTTTCTACAAAAGTTCAGCCTCCTACTTCAGAAAATGTTTGTGTACTTTTAGGCTAAATTTTAATTTCCTTACACTACACCTGATCGCCATGTATTTCACCACTCCAGGAAACACAGCTGCAGGCTAAAATGAAAAAGCAGAATGGACTGAAATTTTGCAAGCATGGAGGTGGGAACACTTAGCTTTGTACTACTACTCAGGTTCTGACTCACCTTACAAAAACAGCTGCAATTTGACTGTGTTTTTATCTTACCCAAGCAAGTCAGTCATTTTAAGTAATCAGCCTAGGTTTCTTTTAATCATTCTTCTCCCTGTCTGTACTACAGTGCTTCCTCCCTGGGGAGCTCCCAGCCAACACTGGAGAATTAAACAGTATGTTATTTGAAGGTGGTTGGTTGGAAATTTTAGCTGGGGATTCTGGTATCTTCCGAGAGGTCTCAATCACAGAGTTTCTCATTGTATCATTCATTTCAATCACTTCAAAGTCTGCTTCATTCCATTCTTCTGCATCCTCCTCCTCTTCATCTTCATCCAGTCCAGAGCTGGACAACAAAGCTTTCCGGTCCTCACTCCCACCACTGTCCTCCAACATACTCTCACTGGAAGAGGTGGCCAATTTATACATCACAGGAAAGAGCAGTGCTGTTGTTACTGAAGCTCCCAGTGCAGCGTACATTATCACTGGCAGATGGTCAAATTTCCCTTGCAAAAACCCAACTGCTGCTGGAATACACATCTCTCCCAAGGCAGCACCAACCACAAAAAAAGCAGCAGACTTTCCTTGTATAGTGGTGTACTGTTCAATCCAGGAAACGCCACTGGGAAAGGTGGCAGCCATTGAAGCCCCGTACACTGTACTCCCAGCCCATAGCGAGATAGGATGTGTAGCAAACAGTACCAAAAACAAGGAAGAGACAGTACTGCCTATGACACTAAGCAGAATCATAGTACCAGGGTATAAACAGGCAGCAAAACAGATTGCCAGGCCTCTGCAAGCTGCAAATGCTCCCCAAAAGATGGAGTTCAAGCCAGCTGCTTCACTTTCCTTCATATCAGCGTAGACCTTTGCATAAGTAAAAATGTAAGAGCCATAGGAGACTTCTGCTCCTACATAGCAAAAGAAAAATATGAAAAGGAGAATGAGGAGAACATAGTGGTATTTGGCAATCCGGCATTTGTGCAGAGAAGCTTTTGTTTTATCTCGCATTGGGCTGCTCCTTGAATATAGGATAAAAAATAGCAAAGAAATTAATAAAATATAGGTGCCTATAACAATGAAGGACCACAGAAAGTGAATGTTGAAATAGAGTTTGAATGCTGATGCAGTCAGTGCTGTAGGTATAGAACTCAAAACAGACTGATTTGTTTTTTCACCTTCATTATGGAGTTGAGATATGGAGCTGCCCAAAGCCATTTTAGCCAAGAGGGGAGCTACAAAGGCACCCAGTGCAAAACTGAAGTGTAAGGCCTGCATGTGTGGTCCAGCATCTGCTCCCCATGTATTCAATGCAAGGACATTGCCACCTGTAGGTTAAAGAGATTGTTTATTTAACAGCAAAACGAATTACAGGAAAGTTACCTCCTTGCACGTGTAGTTAATATGCATGGTCAGACTGGCAAAGTACTCATTATACAGCAGCAGCAGCCAGCAGTTTATAAACAGGCTCAAAGATTATGTGAACTAATCTATAATGTGAAAACTGCAATCCCGGTGAAAGAAAAGTTCTGTTCTTATATGCTTAGCAATAAAGGGTTTAATCAGACATGTTGTTTTGACTTGTAATCTCCAGAATAAAAAAAGATTTCCATTTGGCGATATTATGGATCAAAGCCAAACCTTCTGAACATTTCTTACAAACTAGAAATTCTAGAAAAATTAGATTTTGGGAACCCTGGCACATTTTGTTTTGGAAATACTTAAATAACCACTATGTCCTCCCTGCAGTGCAAGTGAAATTATCAAATAAGCTATTTTGTCTGAAAATTTCCAATGAGCTCTAGTTGACAGGTTCCAGAGGACTCCTGCAATCCAAGCAGGAAAGGGAATTTGTTCACTTACCTGTGTCCAGAACTCCCATGGAAACTCCAATGACTGACATCAGGCCTGTTAACATTAATGCCTTCTTACACCATGGTATGGCGTAAAGACCAGCTGCTGTTCCCAGCATGGATAACCCTATAAAAGGTAAGAAAATAGGCTGAAATCCATAATGCAGCTTCAGTGTTCAGCATGGATTGTAGAGATCCATGAAAAAAAAAAATTAGGCGCAATCAACATTATAATACGGATAGATTACACTGAAACAGGAGCCAGTTACATAAGTAGGAAAAAAAATGTAATGGAATAATTTTCCATAGTAAAATGGAGTGCTGTCAGATTCCGATTCAGAAATTAGATTTCTGCCAATACTTCATTTCAGAGATGAACCAAAAAAATTCTGCTCATGGTCAACATGTACTGTTTCAACATTTTCTGATCATAAGAGTTTGGTTTTTTATTTTAAAATTAATTTCGATCCGCTTGCTTTGTATTATGTTACTAGATGCATCACCTGCTATTTCTTCTTACCTTTGAATACATTCAACACTAAAGATCTTGTATATTTTTAGCTCCTGTAATGCCTTCATTAATTCTAGCACTATATATAGTGTCTGACAGAGAAATAGGAAGTCTAAAATCTGTAAGAGGTTTATGGCCACAACGCCCCCCCTAAACAAACAAACAAAATCAATAAAGGTCTTAGATACCACAATATTGAACTTTTGGATACCTAACCCGGAGAATGGAAGCCAGGACCCTGGGTGAAGTGTACATACTCCACATCTAGTATGCGGAAAATGACAGACACCTCAGAATGGGTACCCAAAACACCCCGTCTACTGAGGAAGGAAGCCGTCTACTTCCTAGAATCAGCATGTTCACATACAGGCACCTCTAGCAAGCAAGAGGGAAAGACTGAGACAGGGCAACTCTTCAATGTTATCCAGCCAGCCCACTCAGTGTTGCAGGGATGCATTTCCAGCCACAAGATCCACAGCTCAAAGCCTTTCCTGCAGGTAGGGACTACACTGTCTTAAAAGAGAAAAACAGATCCCCAACTACTCTTGCATTCCTATGGCACAATTTCAACAGTTCAAAGTTGGAAGTTGCTGTCAATACAGAGGGGGAGCAAGATGTGACGCAGAAATAATAGGAAGACCTTGGGATAGAATTAATAGAAACAAGGAAGTGGAAATCAAGAAGTGTAAGATTGTGGATTTAGGGACCAACAATAAGAACTTCTCCCATAAGCTCCAAAAGATGGAAAAGGAAGAAAAGAAAGACTGAGATTTACCAGCAATCACAGGATAACTATAACCTAGCTCTGAAAAAAGCAAAAATGATCCTAGGATGCATCAAGCCAGATAGTTTAGGAAAAATAGGTATTAACTCCGTAACAAGACACCAGTCACATCCCATCTGGAGTACTATGTCAGAAGGTCAGCCACATTCAGGAAAAACGCTCGCAAACTGAAACGGGCAGAAAATGGCTACTAGAATGATCAGGGAATGTCCATCTTAATCAAAATTAAGAACAGCTGGCTTGCTTAGCCCAACAACCAAAGCCAAGAGGAGGCAAGATTGCTCTCTAAAAATATGTTAATGGATAAATCAGGAAGGAAAAAGCAATATAAGCTAAAAGAAATTTTGACATGAGAACAAATGGGTGTGACCTGACCCTGAGTAGATTAGTTTGAACATTAGAAGAATCTGCCTAACAGAAGTGGGGTTCTCTCACAGTTTTTCAGTAGAAATGATGTGAACAAACTGCTTCCCCCACAAAAACACAAAATAGTTTGAGATAGAGCTGGATAAGTATATGAAGCTGATTCAGGGGGGTGGGGGGGTGTTGGGTTGGGTTCCTATAGCAGTAGAGGACTGGATTCAGTGATTCAGCAGATCCCTTCCAGGCTCATGTCCTTGAGGCATGGAGAGTGCCCTCACAAAGAATAACCTGGGAAGTTAGATCATATGGGTTTGAATCTCCATCTCTCCTCCCCCAGCAGAAGAGGAAACTAAACTCATGCATCTCCCTTCCTGGTTAAGCATTCTAACAAATAAAGAATGGGAGCAGGGGGAGGTTAACAGCAACTATTAAATTTTGCAGGGAACACACACACTCATGTATCTTAAATATGTTCTGCACACTGAACGAAGTTCTCAGGTAACAGGAAGGGAGGACCAAGTCTGTAGATCCTGAGCATGATTAGACTTGACCTAGGCACTGTCAAAGCCTACCGTGTCAAAACTGAGGTACTTCTGCAAGAGTACAGAAGTTGACCTTTCAGGTGCCTTGGGAACTTCACAGCCACAAACTGCAGCTTCTGTGGAGTAAGCACCTTCAGAGTTAGGCAGCTGGGCAGGGTTTTCAGGGCTGCAACTTCAGACTTAGGTACCCAAGCCTCACTTCAAGTGCATAAGTCTACTGCAGATCTAGCCCTACACCTATAAACGTTGTGCTTTTACTAGAGGCAGAAAAAGAAAGTAATTCTATTGAGTGCAGTGCAGAAACCAACTTCTACAGCATCTTTCTTGGTTAAGCTAAAAACTGACAAAAGGAAAAGTATTTTCCTGGTTTAGAATGAAACAGCTTAAAAAAAAACCTATAATGCTGGTGCCAACACACTCACTTCCATCCTTTACACCTGTAATCCTCTTAATTTCTACAGCTCTGTCACACAAACGTCATGATGCTGCTTAAAGATTCATTGTCATGTAAAAAAAAATGATACGCACAAACCTTTCAAGTCCACTCACCCAAGAGAAGATGAGGGTTCATGCAGTCAAAGAGAATCCCTCCAACCACTGACCCTCCAAGGTAGCCCACCGAACGCCCCACGAAGATGTAATAGATGTCACTGACATTTTTATTCACATTCCTAGCTAGATCTTGAAAAGTAGGTCCCACAACAGCAATGCTCATGCCCTGGAAAACATTGGTAAGCATCAAATGAGCCCCTGCCAACAATAAGACGAGAGTTAACAGCCACAAAAAGCTCAGTGACAAATGGAAAACCGGGCTTTACATTTCATTTGAAACAGTTGCAAATCCCCCAAAGCGGGCAAGTCTCTCCCACAAAGCCCCAGGAAAGGCGTCTCCTCCAATAAGTGCGGTCAAAAGGTATGGGCTGGCGTTTTCACAGCGCCGGAGCCAGTGATAGCAACCTGCAAAAGATGAGCATCCCCAGCGGCTCGGGACGCGCTGGCTTCACCCAGGCACAGGTTCAGGTGCTACAGCTCTGCGCAGCGGTGGATCCTGACGGTGTGCAGGGGCACGGCTGCACCCCGCTTTGGGCCTGGATCCCCCCAGGCATAGGTGGGCTCCGCTGGGAACAGCCAAAGCAGCCAAGGCCAGGGGCCACTTTGCTTCAGGGCCCGCGCCCTGGGGGACCCGGTGGGGGGCCCCCACCCTCACACTCCCCTGGCTGCCACCAGGACAGGCTCTGTGAGGAGCCAGGTGCCACCCTGGCCCCGGC